GAAATGATATCGCAATGAATATAGCCATTGTTGCTGATATGGCGTTAAAACATAAATAAATAATTTGCTTTAAGAGACTCTAAAGAGAGGATGTTTACCTCCCATTCCTTCGTGAGAGAGGGGGTCTGGGATACTGCTGTAATAAGGAATCAAATTATGATTAGGAATGGCACACAGAGGCGCTTTTGTGCAGGATGTGTCCTGTTGGACTTCTGGATGGGAGAGAAGAGGTCATGAGATGGAGGGATTTAGTGTCTGTAAACACCACATCATTATTCTGCCTTTGCATTAACAAGCTCATTGGCTTCCTTAAGCTTTACTGCATTCTTAGCGGTTGAGCTTGCATATTTGAGTTTTCGGTGTTTGAATGCATTAAACGGTGTTTGGTCCAGTGCTGTTCTGCAAGTTTCTTCTCTCGTTCTCTCTCTCATTCTCATGAACGTCCTCCCAGCCTACGCAGATGGTTTGCTGACATTTCCAGCGCTAATGTTTTAATGAATGAACCGTTGCTATAACAACAGTCAGTCAGTTCTTAATCACTCAAGTTATGATTGTGTTTTGTGTTTGTGTAATGGCATAAACTAGGGATTGCATGATGGGCGAATTACATGAAAATGGTCTTGGTCAAAGTTGACTCCACATTCCAAAATCATAAGGAAAAAAATATTTTGCATAAAGAATGGAACTTTATGCACTTAAAGGAATAGTTTACCCAATAATCCACAAGTAATCCACACCACTCCAGTCCATCAATTAACGTTATGTGAAGCAAAAAGCTGCAGGTCTGTAAGAAACAAATCCAATAATTAAGGCATTTTAACTTTAAACCGTCAGTTCTGGCCAAAATATGAGTCCATAATCCATAATAACGCTTCCTCCAATCCCCAATTGTCCTCTCACATCAAAAATCCACCCACATATTTGTTTAGAGCTGTTTTGGACAGTTTTAATTTGTAAACTATGCTTGATCTGTGCATATTTCTCTCCTGATTCAGATCAGATTACTTTTTCACTGGAGAAAGCAATATTATGGATATATTTAGCCATATTTTAGCCAGAAGCAAGTTAAAAATATCTTGATGGATTTCTTTCTTACAAACATGCAGCTTTTTATTTCACAAGATGTTAAACTGATGGACTGGAGTGCTGTGGATTACTTGTGGATTATTGTGATGTTTTTATCAGCTGTTTGGACTCTCATTCTGACGGCACCCATTCACTGCAGAGCATCCATTGGTGAGCAGGTGATGCAATGCTGATTTTTTACTGTCAGACACTGACTGCTGAAAAGACACAGATGATGGCTGCAGATGCTCATATAGGGCACAAAGACGCACAGTAAAGCAGACACATGCTCAGTGTTGCTTACAGAACATGACACAATGGCAACGTTCCCTCTTTTCTCTTTCTCTCTTTCTCTGTTTCTCTCACTCAACCCCTTCTTCTATCCTGTATGAGTGTTGGTGGTGCCAAACAAAGATTCTTTCATCGGAAAGAGGAAGTAAATCTCGCCTCTCTCCACATTCCCACTAATGAATGGCAGCGATTTCAGATTTATCATCATAAATACCGAACACATTGTTTCAGACCCACGGCGTTCTGCTTATGTTGTTGTGCAATGCTCTTATATGCTGCATTATCTTTCCCCGTTGGTTAAGAGCATTCAGACTGTGGTTGAATAACTCTAGCTTTATTTACACTGATAAGACAGCTGTGACATGTGGGGCGATGTACGAGAAAAAAATGAGACAGAGAAAGAGACAGGCTGAAAACTTGTCCAGGACATCGAGGAATAAAGATTTTGTCATTATTTACTCACCTTCATTTCATTCCAATCCCATATTTTATTTTTTCAGTGAAAAACAAAAGTATGTCTTAAGTGGTAAGAAGCTTTTGCTTTCTAAACAAGGAAAGTGGATAGACAAGTGCCAAAAACCGCAAAAAGCACCATAAAGCTGAAGAACTAATGGCATATAATGTTACTAATGTCAAGTATGGCATGGCATGAAGCACCACTTTTTAAATTGATTGCAAGTGCAAATGAGTTTGGAGACTTATCAGTGATTAACAGCTTGAATTATTGTCTGTTTCTTACACAAGTCGTATTGACTATTGCATAGCGGGCTTACGGCAATCAGAAGCTCAGACTTTCATCTCAGAAAAATATAAAATAAAATAATATGAGCTCTGAATGACATGAGGGTGAGTAAAAGCTAAGGAAAATTTCATTTTAAAACTTTACATTCTGAGTAACCGATCAAAGGGTTAGACAGCAGTGTAGGATCTTAGATTGTCATGCATTTGTCAACTCTCATTGAGTTATTCATGAGATCCTTGAGAATTTATGAGAGGGATATTTGAGGCTTGAAAAGATCCAACTTCCTTGACCTTACAGACACTGATGAGTGTGAATAATAAATGACATCCGCAGGAATAGCTTCTGTAGATCTTACTGAGTAGGCATTGTGTGCGTGAATGTATGCATGATATCTTTGAAATGATTCCTGAATATTTTATCTACTGTGAATTTGCAAACCCTGGTGATCCTTTGTAATACTCACATTTGTTCTGTGTTGTTTAAGTTTACTGCCTTACACACAACAGTCACCATTTAAGATCATATATGTTGTATCTTATTGCATCTTTTTATGACTTTGTAGAATGTGTATTGTTATGTCACAATAGTATAGTATCTTGTAGTCCATGACTTTGTTCTAAAAAGTGCTGTGGATGGTTGGTTGTGATGTCACAAAATGGGCAAAAAATAGCCATGCAATGTATTGATCCCTTGTGTTATTAGACTGATGTCGCAATGTCAGATTATGCTTTTCACCTCTGAGTAGATGATCCACCTGTCAGTCTTATTATTAGAATGAATAGTGTCTTCAGGACCAAGGACAGCTCTAACATGTGACACAAACCCACATCATCCCCACACTTCCCCAAACACACCACAACACAAACTCTTCATTTCATGCATATTCACACACCTCACACTCTGTAGAACTGAGTTTTGATGGATTAGTTGAACAGTGTTAATTTAATATGAATTATATACTTTTTATTTTAAACATCTATATTATGTGCTTTTTGTTATTTTTATTAGTATTTGAATATTTCTAAATATTAAAAATATATCTCATTTCTATTTAAGTTTTTGTTATTTTTTATGTTTTAATTTTATTTCAATTAGTAATTTTCTCTAAGTCACCTTTGCCTTTATTTGTATAGCACTTTATACAAT